AGAAATGTTGACATCTCGCAGTATTTGTCTTCTCTCTGTTCTAGCGAATTGGATAAAGGGGACCCAATGTTTCAAGTTTATAAAAAAAGACAAATAGGTTTATGAAGTCGAATGCTGACATCTTCTTCCGCGGCTCGAACGCCAAACGGCATGTGCCTGTCCGATTTTTCTATGGTCTTTCTAGGGGCCGAAACACCTCTATCACATTTGCGGTGTGATTAGGGTCGACCAGGGGTGCCAAACTACCGCTTTTGGATTAATTAAACTGCTTCACTACTCAGCGATATTGCGTGTCGCTGACGGATGCGCTAGGACAGGTACCTAGTTTTGCAGTGAAAAAATGTGAACTTTCAGTTTCAATCGGAACCCTATTTGTATTTAGTAATTGATATTATGTTTCATTGGTATGGGTATGCAACATTGGCGATGAATCTTTTTGATATCACAGTGATTTTATTCAAAACTCATCCAAACTATTATATATGAGGGATGAATGGAAATTCGTCACACCCAAGATTCGGATACTAACCGATGCTAATTAAACCAAATCACGTTAGTTATTGATGATTAGACCAATGTAACAAACGAGTTCTGATCATTTGTACCGGAATAAATACAACTGATGTTTCGCGTTTCATACAATCCAGTATAATTGGCTTGGTTCGATTACCCTCATCCTCCTTCGCGGCCCACCGTCAGAGATTGAATGGATAAAATAAGTCCAGACATTTAAAAATTAGGCCCACCTCCTTCCAGGCCTCCGTAATCATTCCCGGACTGATACTGTAGATAATTATCCTGTCGGACGGCCTACCCCATTGTCGTTTGGACTGCTATCCGGCTGACTGAGAACAATTACGTAAATGAAAATAGTCGCATGACCTGCAAACTAAAATTCACTTGTTTTCTGACTGTTCATTTCTTATTCAAATGACAATCAGAATGATCTCGTGGTTTTCCGCTCACTTTTGATCTGCGTCACAGTGTTTGTTTTTTCTTTTTGACAATACATTCCGCTAGTTTCTTTTTCTTTATTGTTCAAGAAAGTCAAATTGGAACGACCTATGCATTCGTCCTATGCGATTCGTCTCGATTTGGGAGCCGACTCTAGGTTTTAAAAAGTATCAGATCCTTATAGGAATCTTTGGATTAGCCACAACGAGAGAAAACCAAAAAATAACAATGTTCGTTTGACGACATTTCGACCCTCTTGGAAGGCCTTTTTCAAGTCACTTACCAAGCAAATATTAAACAAAAATCGTGAGAGAAATCGTATCAATTAGAGGTGCTTTTGATTGGTCTAGGGGGGGGGGGGAATTGAAGTGGTGTGTGTGTGTGTGTAAAGTAATAAATGAGATCATGGAAATTGTGAATGAAGCAAGAGGTCAAAGAGCTCATGATGACGTCATTGAACATGGGAGATTAGTCTGTGAGTAGTTTTGTGGTGTTTGTCTAGTGTACCGAACAGTCGTCCAGTGGTTGAGTGACTCGTAGATACGAACCGCAAGTCCGATTCCAGATAACGAGAAGTCGGTAATCTACGTGTACTATAAGCAGGCAAATATGTACAAAAACAAACACCATACCTCAAATTGTGAGTCAGTCCGGTCTCCACAGTACAAGAACAAGATACAAAGTGGGTCAAGGCGCAGAACAAAGCACCTGCGAAGCGGTCACCAAAAGGAATGCTAACTATACACAGAAACGGGATAATTTAAGGCATAGAAACACCAATCGCAAGTACTCGATAATGTAGTGCAGTCATTGGTCAATGCAAGGCACACAAACGGTTTATCGGATTCTATAGAACAAAGCAGTCCGATAAGCAAATGAATCGAACGACCAAATATAAAGGTTAAATAAAGTGGAGGGGATGCCAATGTACTGGAACCCAATGTGGGTGGGGGAGCGGATTCAGTGTAGTTCGCATGTAATGATGCACGAGATTGGTAAGCGTGGAACAGCGAAAGTTCAAGGACGATAAGGGTAGATGACTCAAAAATGGGACGAGGAACGCTTAGAGGTGGTATATGAACAATAACAACAAAGTACAAAGTATGCTGTCGGACCAAATCGGGGCATGCTGATGGGCAAAGTACATTCGAAAGTCATCTGTGTAATGGGTCATATGCGTGCACAGTTAATCGAACCGGAGCAAAACATAAGGCGTGATTAATTTTTCCAATCAAGTCAATACAGTTAGATTAAATCTTCTTTGTTAGTGAGCAAGGGTGTGTGAACATTTGATTGAGCCAGTGAACTGATAATTGGGTCCCGTTCGATCGATTGACGCAAAGTGGATCGCTTTTGATGAACAATGACTCAGCAATTAAACGTTCTCCATATGACCTGAAACCTTGTTTCAGAATAATCAGTGTTTTAAAGTCAATAGAGTGTCCCTCAGAAATGAAATGTAGAGTACTAGCTGAGTCCCTCTTAAGGGTCCCAAGCTCAGATGCATTTCTTGGCGGGTGTTTGGATTTCCTGTCATGTTCGGATACCCACGTCTTTATTTGTCGACTTGTTTAACCAATGTACGTGGCTGTACAATGTTCACATCTTATATTGCAAATAAGATTCCATTGATCAGCTTTTGGTCGTTTGTCACACGGGGATTTACGGAGATTGACGGGCTTGGGAACCGAAGTTTTCGAGTAGCCCGGTTCTGGTGGTAGGTTTATCGCTCAGTGACGTACGGCGGTCCTCGGAGCAGTTGTCTGTTGCTCGGTATCCGATTGAGTCTGAAACAAGAGACAGTTAGGAATGCTACTGTTCAACCGTTCTTTTCTCCGCTCATGCGTAACCGATGGTCAAGACCACATAAATAGGGTTCAAAAAGGCTCTCGCCACCACACGCTTCGCAGTGTTCCAATGGCGCCCACCGTTACAAAACCGTTCTAGACAGCCAGGACACAACCAGACCATGCAATCATTCTTCCAGCAGTCGGGGTGAGAGTATAGAAAAGCTGTGCGTTAGGTAGATAGGGTGAATGGGGTGGGTCTCCACCCTCACCTTTCCAGAACCACATCCGCAGCTTACTTGGCACTGGACCGACAGGTTGCCTCAGGGCTGCATCACGCGGTCGCTCCGAACAGGATTTCGGTGTGTAGATGAATGCTCTGTGTGAGGGGTAACCGGGTGCATGAGTGATGTTTGCAGTTAGGGAGGCAGCACCCCTGTGCCCTTACTCGACTCCGGTCTTCGACTGCGAGTGATTAACCGAGAGAGTGATTCTCCTGCCGAACCAACCGTACATTTCATTTCTCTTTTGGCTTAATTCGCATCCGAAGTGAACGAAGGGTGTTGGTTGGCCGAAAAGCGACCCGTATATTGAACCGCTTCAGTATTTGTCGGATGCCTTCTGACGTATTGCGGCGATAAAGTATGACACTAGTTGCGATCCAATTGGTCTTTCTGGTTTCTGCTTCTACAGATCTTTTAATACTTTTTCTAATTCTTCGTAGAAAATTTGATGGATATCCGTTATCCGCCAACTCTCTGGTGACTAGTTGAACCCCTTTGCATTTGTCCTTTTTGTTGAAGACGAACTGGTTTGCTCCGGTTAGGAGGTTGGTCACCACAGTGACCTTCCTATTTTTGGGGTGTTCAGAGGAGTAGGACAAATACCTGCTAGTGTGGGATGGCTTTCTGTAAACAGATATTGATAAGTTACCCAAATCATTGAAAGTTACTTGACAGTCGAAACAGCTGATGCTTTTGTGGTTATCAGAATTGTATTGAATTTAGGAATACGAGAACCCGTACTGTACTGCTCAGAACTGAATTGGCTCCAGCTCAAACTGCGGACACCAATGAAATACATGAGGAATTGATAGCAGCAAATGCTT